CTGTATAAGCAAAAAAAAAAAGGGAAAATTGTAACGGATTCTACTTGGGCTTCCACTAATCCTCTTGGGTTTAACTGTGTGTGAAAACCGCTTTCCGTAGAGAGGACTACATTTTATGTAAATGCAAGCTTCTATTTAAGTACTAGTCGTGGAGTAGGCGGAGTGATGGTTGAAAACTGATTCAAAGAGGAAAGCATAATGTGAGTGACCGGTGGTTGCACTTAGTATTAATTAATTCCAGAAGGAAGGATTAAGAGAAAGGAATGCCGCCCACCTTACCGCTGACGATTCAGCAAGTTCTGCAGCAAGAGCGTTCAGGAGAATAGATAAGTCATTATATTTATATAGTAAGATTAATAAGTTTGATTGCTTCTAGGGTTTAGTTATTAGAGTGCATTCACAATAATTCTCATAAATAAGTGTTAAAGGATAAATAAAAGTATTTAAATTTAGAAACGTCTGTTTCTTTTTCGAACCCTCTCACACTCGTGATAGAAGCATCGCGACAACATATTGAGATGATAGTATTCATTCGTGCACTGCTTTTCAAAAGAGATTGTTGTGCAGACTGGACGGTGCGAAAAACTATTCATAGCTAAACTATTTGTTTTTGAAATAGTTAAGAGAAGCCGAGAAAAGGATGTTGTCTTCACAGGATGAAACAAACAAGATTCGGGCAAGATGCACGCAGTGCATTAACCTTTTCACGCTTAAGATGTGCCAAATCATCAACACAGATCAGCCCTTCATCGATCATCTATCAATTTAGTTTTGACAATGGTAACAAATAAACAAAAAAGTAAAAAAAAAAAAAAAAAAACAGTAACAAAAAAAAAAGATTGCACATGTGTAATTCAAAAAGTAATAAAAGTTAACCTCTTTGCAAAACATACGAAAAAATAAATAAAGCATGTAAATAAATTAAATATCTTGCCTTTTGTCTCCAGACTTAAGAAAATCACTCTACGGCATTTCACGAACTGTGTGGCTAAAGCTTTTTTGTTTCTAATGGACTGTAGATTGGTGTTTTACCATTGCAGACCTAGTACATTCCATGGAATCTCGAATCTCATTTTTTTCCGGTACCATATGGGCGAATACCCATCGCCGCAATGTAGTTTTGGTGTCCAATTTCCTCCCTAGAGGGAGCCACCTGACCTCTGATGGTACGAACCTGTACTAGGATTTAATTTTGCCGAGAGCACTCAAGCCAAACAGACACTCTAGGGATCCTTTACATGCCGTAAAATCATACTATCCCCACTGTCGATTTTCTGCATCATGAAAGTCCACCGACTTGGGCCAGGGTCGAACCCGAAACCTAAGGTGCAGAAGGCCAGCGACAAACCAGACACGCCACCCAGCCGGCGTGTGGCTACAGCTTGAAACCAAGAAAACGTTAGATATTAATTGGTCAGTTTATAGCCAAATAAGTCAATATCTGAAATAGCTAAACTTCGGATTTCGCCAAAATGTATCCAGTTAGTCCGCAAGCCGAATCTGGCTCATGAATCTTAGTTCTAATATTCCTGCATTAAGACCATAAAAAGATCGATCAATGTTGGTTATCTTGTTTTCAATTGCAGTGACTTGACGAAGGCGGTTTTTTAGCTATTTTACTAAATTTACACGCTATGTGGAAACTGCGAGACCTAGTTCCATTTAACATTAATTAGTCATTATTTTACGATGATAATGCCGTCATACCTTCGAGTTCCGATTTCCAGAAGCTACTCTATGTATTGGATCTACCGTTTTTTATGTAAATTTTATTTTTTGAATGATTATGATGTTTTTAAAATAATTGTGTATCATATGGCAGTCATTCCAATTGAAAAATGTTTTTTTTTTAAAAATAATATTTGTTAGACACAATTATTAAAAAACCTTTTATTGTAGTTTTTTTTTTTGAATAGATTTTCTTCTCAAATATTTTAAAAGTTTTGAACATATCAGTGTTTTCAATTTAATTATCAAGTTTTATTACGAGCATTTTGCTGTGTTGAGGAATAATTTTAACAAGATCCTGCACTGAAATTAAACACGATTGACAACAAATGCTGAAAAGTTAGAACAATTCTTGAACTGAAAAAAAAACAAATACTACCTTTCGAATTGTTTTTATACACCATATTGCTACTTCTATAGAATTTAATTAAATACACAACATATATATAAGACAATTGTGTCGATGCTTTTCTTTGGAGTAAATGATGGCACATTTCTCCTAACATTCGCAACTTTTAATCTAGATTAATGCTCTTTGGGAAATCTTTATGACTGTAGAGCTGTATAGAAAAAGCAATAAGTCTTAGAAATTGCTTCACGTTGTTGTTATTGTTCATACTCACAGTCAAAGGACCTTTTATTTCAAGATCTACGAAGAGTGCTTTTATAAAGAAATTTTAATTTTTTAAAAAATCGTCAAGGTGATACGATTTCCGTTTGTGAATTGTAATTTTGAGTTAAGTTGATCAAGCTTATTGTGTTTTTGACGCCCCTTATCTTTTATATAAAGCGCTTATGTATATTATTTTCTGTTGGCTCATGAACTGAAGCTGCACCAACGCATTTAACTATTTTTTATTTGTCACGCGTTTCTGTTAATGTGAAGAATCTGACAACCGCTTTCATATGTTTTCGATTGATTCACGATATGCTCTTATTCGAATCGAATAGCGGAATATAGTGAGATGAGTATAGACTTTGTTCTTACTGAAACTTTTTTGATAAAACTCTTATTCTGTCGAAATTCAATTCTTAATGATATATTCAAAATTATTCAGACTAATCAGATTATAGCAGTTAGTTAAGAATCAAAAGTTAGCGAAGATTTTCCCTAGCAGTTTGAGAGTTTGTGACGGGACTTTATCGGTATTTCTTCTAACAGTCCTCTTGGGATTTCTTTGGGGCCAGAGTGGCAATTGTTTTCCACCAACCCAAGAAGAGAGTGTGGTTATGCAGATTAGGAATCATATATATTGGATCGTTAGTATTCGCGAGGAGCGCTAAGTAAGCTAAGTGAAGTGAGTTAAAGTTCTAGGGAAAAGAGAGTTAGTGCATGCTAGGAGTTCTGTGAGTCATCTAATGGTGCTACTGTAGATAAGCAAAAGTGTGTCCGAGACCAGAAGAGTATTGCCTTAGCAAGAACAAGTCAGATGGAAGGATAAAATTGATTATTTAAGGACCAAGGAAATAGCGGTAAGCTTATTTGTTTAAGCTTTAAGAATAGAGTGGATATTATTAAGTAAGGAAATAATACATAAAGATAGATTCAGTGGTTAATTGCGCTATTTATCAGTATTACGGTTGCGTCGTTTCACTCCAGATCATAAGCCTCCTATTCTAGTGTTGTTGTATTGTATATAAATTAAGATAATAAAAAAAATAAACTGGTTTTATTATGGCAGAGTTTAGTGGTTCATCTTTAATTCCCTTAGACGTAGGTCACGTGGATGGTGGAGAGAGGGTATCCCCAACGGTGGGGATATCTCAAGTTATACGTAGATTCATTCAGTTAGTAATTCCTTGCCTATGCCCAGGTTCTTATTTGCTGTTAGAGGGAATTTTATTTTGGATAGTTCCCGAACAAATGTTAACGATCCTCACATAAGAGTAGTCTATGAAACAATGAGGAGCTCTCGTCGTTTAGTAAAAGCTATAGTTTCAGAGTGTCTGTCAATGTTACAGATATGAGTGCATTTTGGTTATTTAAATCAAGTTGTTGATATTTCTCATATGTATTGAACAGGATTCGGCACTTGAGCTTGTACCCCTTCTCCAAACTTACACACCACACCAACCTGAACCACGATAGATTTGATGCGAATCAGCCCCTGTACATGGGAACGGGGTCCTCAATGAAACTCCAACTTATGGACTCCAACTCATAGATTCTAAATCATGGACTCTAACTCATGGACTCTAATTCATGACAAACCGGCCACGAGCTCGTGGTTATGACCACTAGGCTACCACGCCCACAAGAGAGACTAAAATTGTTGTAGTAGGAATGGTATGGTTTTTACTTGTGCTAAATATAAAGCTATTTATTGAAAGATTGATTTATAGTGTTGATGTTGTTTCTTGAGCTACCTGATCGACAGTAACATAAGATCAAGGCCTACGAAATTTATCACGGCAAGGAGCTAGATTTTTACGCCTGTCGTTCTCCGTAGCTTTGAGCACCATACAGGAGACACTACGATTTACCTCGGTTTCACGCCAATTTGGATGGAGTACACCATGGGGAAGGTCAGGGGTCTTCCACCTCTCTTCCTCTTCCACCAACCTCACGAGAGCAGCTCGGCGGCTATTTAGAGTACCCCCATGACGCTAAGGCACTATATATTTACGAATACCCATGCTTTCTCCGGGATTCGAAGCCAGGTCATACGGCACAGCCGTCAGCGTCGCTAACTACTGTACCGTATCGGTGGTATGATTTATTGTAACTTTATTGTAGATAATGGCATCAACAACATATAGATGAAAAAAAAAGACAATAAAAAATAGAGGACAAAATAAATTATTTTAATAACTTGGAGAGGTCATGTTCTTTCATATACAGTTTATCTCAAGCAAATTAGGATAACTGAGTTTTCCATCTTAGATATTTTTCTTGATTATTGAAAACAGTGGGAAAATAATGGAGTTTTAGAAGAAATGAAAAGTATCCATAAGTGTCACTTTTTAAAAAATTAAACCGACTTAACTTAAAACAAACAATGACAAACTTAAAAATGTATATTGGCTTTCAGAAATGTACTTGAGATTTCAACTGCACATAATGAAACAGTAAAGATATTTAAACAAGTAATATACAAGCAATATCAATTCTTACTTAGGCCATCAAAGAAAATTTTTATATATATTTTAGTTACAATTAATATATATGTATATACATAGGACATAATCACAATATTAAGTGACGAAATAAAAAGCGATTTTCCTTGCAATTTTCCATTTTCCTTTCTAAATTTGGTGTTGGACTTCTAGGTTAACCCAAGCGGGAATCGAACCCACGACCTTGGATTAGAAGTCCAATGCGCTATCCATTGCGCTACAGGGACACAATGAACGAGTTTCCTTTCTATAAATGTCATTGAACTATTATTTTTGTTTTTTACAATTTATTATTTATTAATTTAATTAATGAATTAATATTTGAAAAACTATATTAACATCCAGTGCCCTCCACTACAAGTTAAAAAAATTGTATTTAACCTGGAGTGGATGAATAGAAAGTATTTAATTAACGATTGAAAATTTGAACACGATATATATATATATATATATATATATATATATATATATATATATATATATATATATATATATATATATATATATATATATGCCGTCGAAACTCTATATAACGAACCTCTATATTGCGAACTTTTTCCTAGAACCTTGAACATTTCTTGATTTTCTTCGTAAAATAACCTCTCTATAGCGAAGGGCATTTTCTATATAACGAACTTTTTCTTTTGTGATTCAATTTTTGTTCTCCCTTTTTTTAAAGTATTTCTGAAAAAATTTCAAGTTATTCTCCCTTGTTGTTGTTGTGTGTTTATTACTGGGATACATACGAAAGTCGTGAGATAGATGAACAGAAACATATAACACAACCACAGAAGAATACAGATTTTATTACAAACGATGATCCCAGCATATAACAAGAAAAGGTGCGCTGCTTTTCCTTTCGAGACGGGAATCCATTTCAGGCGAAAGAACGACTTCTTTCCCGAAGAAGATACAACCAAGTCTTACTCGGGATTCGAACCCGAACCCACTCGGTTACAAGCCGAGGGTCATAGCCACCATACTGGCTGGGCGACTTATTCTCCCTTTACCACATTTTATGGTGGCCATAAATCTTAAACTGGTTTTATTAGACCCTAACTTTCCGAGAGCAATAGAGTTCTGGACGTTTCATCCAAGAAATACAACCTTTAACCTACGTTGCCCAGTTCACTGGAAACATCTTCGATATACTCTTTCACCCTTAGTGGAGTTGTCCCGTATCCCCGTGTTCTAATTATAAAATAATGTGTGTTTAATATTACTTTTATGCTTTAAATTATAAAATATCCTTAAAATTCATTAATAAAATTTTCTTTATATTGAAAATACAGTGAATTCTTCAACATTCTGTTTCTTGTTTTCCTTGCAGTTTTTCTTTTTTTCTTTCTTTTTTGATGGGTAAGATATATGAAATAAACATATATTAATTTTAAAAAAATGGTAAGAATAATTAATTTTTTAAAAATATAGTGTTTATGAATTTCTAGTTTGTTTTATGTGGTTTATAAAGAAAATTGAAGGACGAACTTCTATATAGCGAATTTTCCATGTAACGAACTTTTTCTGGGATTTAGCGACTTCGTTACATAGAGGTTCGACTGTATATATGCAGGGTGAGAGTGAACTAATAGTAGGAATCGAAAAAGGACATATAAGAACTAGTAAAGAGAGACAGTTGTGTTCCTCAGACGGTTTCTAATTGCTTTTTTTTTTAATTATTTCCTTCCTCAATATGAATGCACGACTTCCTTACACGTATTTAATAAAAGAAATAAATTGCTATTCAAATTAATAAAATGAGAAGACAATTCTTATAAAAAATAAGAGTGGCAAATAAATGCTCTTTTCATCCATTCCTCATCTGCTCTGATGATTTACATAATTCCGTCATTCAGCTTAAGAACAGAGATAAATTTCATAATTAAATTCATTTTTAATCAAAGAATTCATTCAAAATGTTTTAATATATCGTTTGTTTCTTTTTACGTATTTAATTAAATTATCTCTTTATTGGAAGAAAATTACTTCCTCAATTAAATTTAATGTTCAAAGTCAGTTACACAATCGTATAATTAATTTTCTTCTCTTATTACAGATAAAATCAATTCATACCCTTTTAAAATGAAAGTGAATACATTTACGTACGTAATTCATGTATTATTAAAATTAATAGTTTAGAAATATGAATTGAATTATAGAATTTCTCCAGAATTGTGAAAAGTACTCAGCATTCATTTGAATATAATATAGCACGCAGGCATATTGTAATGCAAATAAGTATTTAAAATTTAAAGTAGTGGTTTTAGGTTTCGGAAGAAAAAACAGTTAAAAATATCAAAATTGTAAATTTTTTCTTTTATGTATATAAAAATCGTAACTGAAACAGATAATCTCTTTGAAAAAAAAAGAAATTTCAATCAGTCACTCATCATAAAATCTCTGAAACTATTAGATGTACAGACTTAAAATTTGGCAGACATATTCCTTTTATTGAGAAGAGATCCGCTAAAAAGGGATTTTAAAAAGAGGGGAATTGCGGGTGCCCCCAATCCAATCTCTCAAGGAGAATTGCTGGGGACGTTAAAGAAAATTTTCCGTTTACCAATTGTTACACCCACAGACTTGAAACTTAGCAAACATGTTTCTTTGGTAGAGATTCGCTAAGAATGGGACGCACAGAAAAAGTCACACAAGAGAGATTACGGGGACGTTATAAGTAAAAAACCCCCTTTATTGAAATATTAGACCTTGCAGATCTGAAATTAGGTAAAAATGTTTCTCCTATTAAATACAGATCCACTAAAAATCGGTTTCACGAGCATCGTCTTCTTTTTTACATTCCTTTTTTTATATTTACTCTTATTGATCTTCATGCAAGAAAAACTTTGCTCACAAATAAGGTCGACACAAAAACAGAGAAACTTTTCCTAGCAAATTTTTTCATGCATGGAAATTTTTCAGTATACAAAGATTTATAAAAGTCGATTAAGATATCCGACTACGTTCGGAACAGTGATTTTAAAAAACCGCATAAATGGATAATTTTCATGATATTTAGTGTCACTCAGATTAGAATACATGCATAAAATTGTTTTAAGGACATTTTGACAAAAAAATTTAAGTACAATATTTTGGCAAAAAATTAAGTCAGAATAATCTTTTTTTCCAAATGTTCTCCTTTTGTGAAAAATGGTTCTACTATAATAATATTTTGCCTGTATATAGCTCTGACCTCTCTACAGAGGCTCAACTAGAATTTTTGAAAAATTCACATTATTTTCAGAGTTACCACCGATTGAAATAATTATTGGCGTTTTTTTCTTAAAATTGCTTCCCTTTGTTGTCGTAAAATATGAATAAACCCACTTCTAAGTTATATATTTCAAAAATTCTAGTTGAGCCTCTGTAGAGAAGTCTGAGCTATATAAAGGCAAAATATTATTATAATAGAAGCATTTTTCACAAAAGGAGAACATTTGGAAAAAAGATTATTCTCAGTTAATTTTTTGCCAAAATATTGTATTTAAATAAATTTTTTTTTGTCAAAATGTCCATAAAACAATTTTATGCATATATTCTAATCTCAGTGACACTAAATATCATGAAAATTATTCATTTATGCTCTTTGCAAAATCACGGTTAAAAACGTAGTCGGATACCTTAAAATACGTGTATAAAATATTGCTTTAAAAATATTATTAGAATAAAAAATTATTTAAATAGAATATTTTGGCAAAAAATGAACATAGAATTATCTATTTTGAAAACATTCTCCTTTGATGAAAAAGGCTTCTACAGTAATAATATTGAGCGTATATATATTTCAGACCTTTATACAGAGCCTGAATTAAGATTATTGAAAAATTCACATTATTTTCAGAGTTTACTACCAATTGAAATAATTATCGGTGCTTTTTTCTTAAAATTGCTTCCCTTTGTTGTCGTAAAATATGAATAAACCCACTTCTAAGTTATATATTTCAAAAATCCTAGTTTAGGCTCTGTACAGAGGTCTGAGCTATACATAGGCAAAATGTTATTATTATAGAAGCTGTTACACTTATTGGTAAACTAATTTAAATTTTGCAAAGCTAGCAGTGAAATTTATGTGTCGAGGAGGCATGAAGACGAAAAACAGCTTCTTAAAATTGGCCTTTAATAATCAATCATAAAGTCACTGTGCTCGTTACTGGAGCGATAAAAAAACAATAAGTTCAAAAATCAACATTACCAGAGACATCCGATTCGAACCGTCTTCTAATATTGTAAAATGAATTTCTAATCTAAAATGGTGATGCAACCTGCAGTTGCATTGCCAAACAGCCGTTCTCTCCCTCTAAGAGTTAAACCACTCACACACTTCTTATATTTCTGTTTCTCCTTCCCTCTCGAAAATTTAACATGAGCCGAGTTTAAATACTCGCTCGATTTGCATTGCAGTTGCTGCCAACCACAAATCTCGAAACTCAAAAGGATCGGGTTCGAATCGGTGTGCTTACTTTCATTGAGATCATGGAACGGGATTGGAAAAACAACACAAGGAGATCATAAAAATTTGAATCCGACCTTTTAAATGTCTAACAGAAGCATTTTCCATAAAAGGAGAATGTTTTGAAAATAGATAATTCTGTGTTCATTTTTGCCAGAATATTAAATATTTTATTATTATTATTCTTAAAGCAATTTTATGCATGTATTCTAATCTAAGTGACACCAAATATCATAAAAATTATCTATTTATAGGCTTTTGCAAAATAGAAGTTCCGAACGTAGTCGGATACCTTAATGTCACAGCATAAAACATTTTCTTCACTCTGTAATCTGACTACAAGTTAATAAGTTCCAGTTGCATCTCTTCTGGTGTTGTTACAATATCAGCAGTGCGCGGGAAAGGAATGTCAATTCAAGGCAGATTTCCGGACTGTCTTGGTGGGCCTAAAAATACACCTTTGTGGGCCATCATTTGCCCAATTCTGCACAAGATGACTCTTTACTGAGTATTTAATATGGCCTCACGGATGTAACTTCTAAACGGTGAAGCAGCATGTCATTGAAGTCATTAAGGGCATCCTGGAATATTCTTTCCACTCCATACTCGTACCTCCTTTCTTCTACGGCAAACTGTGTTCCATAGAATTCTGGAGCTCCACCAGGTATACCTAGGGGTTCTATGAGCCAAAATAAAAATTCGAGTCCTACGATAAAACATAAGGTTGTCAATGAAAGAGAGGGGAGAACTGCTAGGCATATCAGCAGACTCACCTTC